AGAGAGAGAGAGAGAGAGAGAGAGAGAGAGAGAGAGAGGCAAATGAATGAATGAACAAATGACTAATGGATTCTGGGAGACAGCTCCAGATGGCCTCTGATCTGTCTCGCTCCTCCCGTTTACCATCCTTCTCCATTCCTGATTGTCTGCTGAGCAAACCCACTCACTCTTCTCTCTAAACCTTCTGTTGGTAGAAAATGTTTTCCAGGTGCTAAAGGAACATCCTTCCTCATACTGCCTTTTGACTTCAGCTGTCAGAATGATTTAAGCTCATCGACTGTGCAAACCCCGAAGGTCAGCAAATTTGTCTTGTCTGCTTGTTTTGCCACAATTCTGTTTCCCTCTTTTGTTTGTGTTTCAATAATCCTAACATATGAGCCATTTTTAGGAGACTGCCCTTTGGTGAGAGGCAGGGCCTGACATCAATACAATAAACCAAGACAAAAGGTCAAGGTGAAACGTTTAATCTGGCACTCAAGGCCCTCATATATTGGCTCCAACAGACCTTTCCAACAGGATCATCTATCCCATCTCGATTATTCTCCAGGCAACTTTAGATTTTCCTACTTCTGTGCCTTTGTTATTCTTACTGCCAGGTAAGTCAAGTCCTACTTTATCTGTGTCTTCGAGGTCCACCTTAAAATGAATTCTCCAGCAAGCACTCTGGAGGTGAGCTCTCCCTCCTCTGAGCTCTGACTGTCCTTTTGACCTGCCTGACATCAAGGCTGACATCACCATTTGCTTTCTTCCTTGTGTCGTGTCTCTGGTACTGTAGGTCAGTCTCTCCCACAAACGGGGAGCTCTTTTGGGACAGGGACTATCGCAGAAGCCCTTCCACTGTCCTTAGCACCCATCATAGTGCCTGGCACACATGAGGCACTCGGTTAGTGTCAACTTGCTGGCTGACTGGTTGAGTTAAAAAATAAATACATAGCCTGGCCAGTGTGGCTCAGCATTTGAGCATCGAACTATGGACCAGGAGGTCAGGGTTTGATTCCCAGTCAGGGCACATGCCCGGGTTGCGGGCTCGATCTTCAGTAGGGGGCATGCAGGAGGCAGCCGATCAATAATTTTCTTATTATTGATGTTTCTATCTCTCCCTCTCCCTTTCTCTCTTTGAAATCAATAAAAATATATTAAAAAAATAAAAGCATAAAGAGAGGAAAGGGTACTAAAATAATTGAGTATTTATGGGCATAAATAAAGAAGAGAGAAAAGGAGGGAATGATGGGTGAATGGACACATGAATGAATGGGTGAACCAGTATACGCTCTGTAAGAGTCAGGGCTTTTATCTCTCTTGTTTAGGACTGGCTCAGTCAATATTCAGTGTGGGAATGAGTAGATGGCCAAACGACCAAATGAATTAATAAATGAATGCCCCAGGAACATCCAGCCTTAGTAGAAAGTGAGAGCATCACAGGTTAATTTCCAAGGAACCTTCCTCACCCCACCCTCCCATCCTGCCCACGTTCCCTTCCCAGGGGAAGGACAGGAAGAGCTGACAGGGAGGTCTGGGGTCACCTCTCAGGTTCTTGATGAAGTCATCTAGTTTCATCTTGCGTTCAGCCTTGACGCTGGGACTGTACATGTCAGTATTGAGGAGGATGATGGCAAAAGCGAGGATGAAGATGGTGTCTGGGTTCCGGAACTGGCGCACGAGGGCTGGGTTACACACACAGTACCGCTGGCTGCAGGGCAGGAGGGGCCAGGGCCAGGGTCAGGCACCAGGAATCTCCACCTACCCACCATCCTCCCAGTCTGGCACCACCAACCCTCTCCTTTAACAAGTACTCCCAAACCCTTTGGGTGTGTCCTTTTTCTTTGGAGTTTCCCCAAGATAAGCATGTAAAATTCACAATCACTACCTTTTACTGAACTCCACAGATCACCTCTCTCAGCTTCATACATAAATACCCTACAGAGGGTCTATGTACATGTCCTATGTAGTCCTATCAGAGTCCTGCAAGGTAGCTATTAGCAGCCCCATTTTACAGATGAAGTGACTGAGACCCCCAGTGGAAAGGTACCTTGCCCAAAGTAATAGAGCTGGTAAATGGGGAAGCCAGCATGAAAATCTGTATCTTTCTGATTGCAAAGAAAACCTTCTCCCATTATGGGAAACAAATTTTCAACAACTCTCGTTCTCCTCTAAATACCTCCAAAGTGGTGGGGCCAGGATTTATACCCAGGTCTACCTGATCCCCGCAGCATTCATAGTAGACTATAAAAGTTAAGGGTCATGCCCTGGCTGGTGTGACCTGGTTGGTTGAAGTGTTGTCCTGTTGTCTCAGGTTCGATTCCCGGTCAGGGCATGTACCCAGGTTGCAGGTTCCATCTCAATAGGGGAGTATACAGGAGGCAACTGATTGATGTTTCTCACATCTCTCTCTCTCTCTTTCTCTCTCTCTCTCTCTCTCTCTCTCTCTCTCCTCCCCTTCCTCTCTCTAAAATCAATAAAAACATATCCTTGGGTGATGATTAAAAAAAGAGTTAAGGGACATGGAGTCAGACACACTGAAGTTCAAATCCTGGTTCCACCGTGTATTCACTGTATGACTCTGGGCAAGTTATTTAACCTCTCTAAACTACTAATTTCTCATCTGCAAGACAGAAATAATAATAGAAACACCTACCTCATAGGGTTGTTGTGAGCATTCAGTGAAATAATAATATAAAGTGCCCAGCTCAGCACCTGATACCTGGTAAGAGCTCAACAAACACTAGCTATTGTTGCTGATGTTGTCATCACTTATGGGAGTCCCATGTCCCAGATGCCAAGCTAGATACTTTTTACACATTACCTCTGATCCTCACAACTTAACTGCCTCACAAGGTAAGATTTATAATTGCCATTTTCTGATGAGGAAAGTATGAAGGTGAGAGAGGTGATCTGTAGACACACTATGCTGCCCCCCGAAATAGGGAAAGGTAGCTTTAGTGGGAAGCAGGCGCACCTGAAGGCTTCGATGAGTCGCTCCACTTTCTGGGCCTCGCCCTGAACCCGGATATGGGATTGGAACTTCCGGAGTGCATCATCCAAATCCATGGAGGAGAAGTCCATCTCATCCACCACACAACTGAGGAGCAAGGAGGGGGTGTGGCACTCTCAATTCCTCTGCACAAAACCTCTGACCCACCCTGACCTGCTCAAATGGACCAACTCCTCCATTGATAGACATCCACAAAATATGGACACATGGCCCAAGTAAGTACATGTGAGGGCGGAACATTTGAAATTGAATCCACCCCAGAAAATCAGGTCCAGACATATGGCTACTAAGAGTTCTTTCCATTACGCACTCATTTCAGAGATGGGAAAACTGAGACCCAAAGACCATAGGAAAAGCGTGCCTTACCTGGGGCCACCCAGAAGCCTTTAGGAATAGGGCCAAGAGAGATCAGGCCTTTTTGGTGCAGAGGGTTATGGGATAAGGAAGGCCCATTCATCCCGTTTTGCAAGTTTGAGCAGAAAGGACAGGCTGCCCCCCACCTCCAGCCCTCCTTTGCCAGGAATCCCTGGCCCAGCCTGCCCCATGCCAGGGTCCTCACTCCAATACGTCTCTGTTGAACTGCTTCTGCCGGTTCCCTAGGAATTCCCCTATCATCTGCCGGCTGAGGCCTTTCCGTTCCAGGATGAAATGAGCCACTCCCACCGGTGTGTCTGACAGGAAGCCCCGCTCAATCAGATACTGGATGCCCTTCTCTGGCTTCCTGCAGAAAGAAGGGAGGTAGATGAGACGACCGTCCTCCTAGAACTTGGCCCTCTGTCCCATTGCTTGAACTAATTTTGGGCCCAATCACGACCTCGGAGAACCAAGGAAGTCAAATACATAATTTGGTCCAATCCCTTCAGAAAACTGAGGCCACTTTCCCATTTCACAGTTTCAAAATTCCAAGGCATCCTCAACCCAACTTCCTCCTTCACTGGAGCCACACTACAACGGAAAGAAAATTAAAATTTAGTGAGAGCCTGTTTAGTGAAAGCTCAGGAGCTTTGCTATTCCCAGCAGGCACTGAGGAGTCCTGGAAGAGGGCCCGAGCTCCAGGCTAAGCCCTCCTTTCCAAGGCCCAGGCCCACCTGTACAGGCATCACCCAGCCTCTGAGCGTTTCCATAGACGTGGTGTTTCCTACTTCCCACTGGGCCAGCTCTGGGTCTGAACTATCCCACATTCAGAATCTCGGAGCCTTAAGACCTCATGAGGCTAAAATTTGGAAGAGACTTTAGTGTGACAGGAGTCTCACACCCATCACTTACCATGCATGACTCGGGACAATTCCCTTTGCTTCTTCAAGCCTCAGTTCTTTCTCTAAAAAATAGGGACACTCCCACCCAGATTGCCGAGTTATTCTGAGAACTAAATATAGGTGGCAGTGTCTAATAGGCTACACATGTAAGGCATTTATTTTTTAACTATTTTCAAATCAAATGTCGCACTCACCCCTCACTCCTAAGGACCAGGCCCAGGGCCAGGTATCTAGAAAGAGCTTGGTCCTGCTTACTGACTAGCCCAGCATTCCACCCTGCCCCCCAGTGCCACAAATATACACACCCTGCTAGTGGATAGATGGAAACACCGAAGCCCAAAGAAGGAACCCACCTGGCCCAGAGCTACACAGTGAGTCTGGCTAAAGTCAGGATAGAGTCCAAGTCTCCTGTTTCTCAGAGCAGGGCTCTTTACATACCACATTGGCTCCCCACCAAATAGGGGAGGCTGAGGACACCAAGTTCAGAATCCATTCTATAGATAGCGAACTGGGGCCCAGAGAAGGGAGCATCTCACCCAAGATCACACAGCCAGTTAGAGGCAGTGCTAGGACTAGAAGTGCCTCTGATGGGTGTGTTGGGGGACTCTCTCCTCTGCCACCCTGTTGCCAATCCTCTTCACTAAACAGCTGGGGAGAAACACCATCCACAAAATGCGAAGCTGGCAGAAGCAAATTACTGCTTGGAGTTTAGCCCCAGGGATTCAAAGTGCCTCGTGGCAGGGTAGGAAGGGGCAAGGGGGGCAGGAATGGGAAGCACATACTTATTGAAGAGGTTGAGGCCGATTCTGTAATGCCGCCTCTGCACCACGTCATTGTTGAAGGCTGGTGAGTCCCAGCTGTGCCTTGTCTCTCGCTGGTAAGTCTGCTTGCACAGGCTGGTGGCTGGAGGCTCCCTCAGGCTGTCCCTCGAAGAGGAGCCAGAGCTGCAGTTGATGGTCTCATTGGAATTGCTGGAGCTCTCAAGGCTCTCGTTATCGCCACCATCAGAGTTCTCGCCTGCCGCCTCGCACTTCCCCAGCCTCCGAGCCCCAGCCACACCACTGGGCCCAGTGCCACTGTTGGGGGCTGGTGGCAGGGGCCCTGGTGGGGCTGGGGCTGGGCCCTCTGGGGCTGGGTAGTGGCGGTGTAGGATTGGGGCCCTGCCTGGTGGCCCTTTGTGCTTTAGGGTCCCATGGGGGCTGCAGCCATCGGCCTCATACACCAGCTGGCGGTGGACAGAGCCGCGATCTGAGCGGTCACTCAGGTCCACAGAGCTGTCACTAGGAGGCTCAATGGTGAGCAGGGGAAGGTGAGCGGCCCGCAGCCGGAAATCCCGACACTCCGAGCACCCAGGTCCCCTTCGAGGGCCTTCCTCACGGCTCCCATCTTCCCGGGTCCCTGGTGGCCCTGGTGGAGGAACTGGTGGGAGAGGGGCTGGTGCCCAGAACTCAGGCCGGCTCTGGGGTGGGGGCTCTGCGCTGGGCAGTCGTTCAGGGGATGGTGGGGGAATTGGGTCATCCAAGTAGAGGGGAAGGTCACTGAAGGATGTGGCTGAGCTGTCCTCTTGCTGTTCCTTCGACTCTCGCTTCTCCAGCTGGGCTGACCCTGTCTCCTCAGACATGGGCCCCGATGGGTGGCAGTTCAGGGCCTCATCAATGGATTCAGCCAGAGACTTTACCTGTGTTTGCGGGGAAAGGGGAGGAGGGACAGAAAGGGAAAGGAAGGGAAGATGAAGGGAGGGTTGGTGGGATGAAAGAAGGGTGGGAATGAGGGAGGAGGGGAAGGGAATAGGGAGAACTTCCTGGTTGGTCAGCCAAGAAAAGGGATTCCCCTCCCCCCACAGGTTCTCTGCAGTATATGAAATAACTCCCAGGGAGCCATTGTGAGCTCACAGAAGCTGGGACTCATGCCCACAAGCTCCCCTCTCAGATATCCCAATACCTCCTCAATGTCCATGTAGACCCAAGTCAAATGCCACCCACTCTCATTCAATCCACATTTCTGCATCTGCCATCCCCTGAGTCAGGGGTGGGCAAACTTTTTGACTCGAGGGCCACAATGGGTTCTTAAACTGGACCGGAGGGCCGGAACAAAAGCATGGATGGAGTGTTTGTGTGAACTAATATAAATTCAAAGTAAACATCATTACATTCATTTCAAGCGGGCCGCATCCGGCCCGTGGGCCGTAGTTTGCCCACGGCTGCCCTGGGTGAACCAAAGCCCCAGCTTCCTCCAGGCTTCCAGAGCCCTCTGTCTCCTTCTACCTTAGGAAATCCATATGATTTAGCCTTGAAAAGCCAGACCATGGCTGGTAACTCTACCTCCCTGTGGTATTCAGCCTCTCAACTGGCCCCCAATGATTCCTGCCTCCTGGTATTCACACCCTTGTGTACCACACTGTCCTGGGCTTGGTCTGTGGGACTGATAGCATATGACAGAAGTGATGAGTGTCACTTCCGAGAATAGGTTATGAAAGACTACAGCTTCTGTCCTGAGCACGCTCGCTTGCTTGTGCTCTCTCTCCCTCAGACCCTTTGCTCTGCAGGAAGCCATGGGCAGTCCTATGGAGAGGCCCATGTAGCGAGAACCTGAACCCTCCTGCCAACAGCCAAGGGAGTGAGCTCGGAAGCAGACCTCTCAGCCCCAGTCAAGTCTTCTGAGATTTCGACCCCACCTTAAGCTTGATTATAGCCTTATGAGAGACCCTGAGTCACTTGCTATGCAGCAATAGGTAACTAATACACTTCTCCATCAGACTTGGATAACACTGAGAGCTGGGCCTAGGCCTGGTTCTTTGATCTCCCTACCAGACTATGAACCTCTTCCCTCTACTCCCTCTTGAAGGATGGGTCCAGGCCTAGTTTCTGTCTTTCTAACTCAGCTCAACACATTTCTTGACACAGAAGAGATGTTCAATTAATGTTTGTTGTATGAGTGAATAGATGAGTGATTCAGATTTTTCTTTAATACTTCTTTCTTTCCCTCTACCCACCCTACCCAACACCCCCCTCTTCACTAGCTCCAGAGAGGCATACCCAGGCTGATGACAGGGCCACATCACAGAGGTTAGAGCAGAGTGATTTCTTCTCTTATAAAGCTTCATTCATTCATTAAACAATTTACCTTCTTGGTTTTTAGGAAGGAAACTAACATGGACTTAGTAGCTACCACATACTAGGTGTTTCTGTATACATTACCTAGCTGAACTGAATCTCTGAAACAACTCTAAAAGGAAAGTTTTACCTCTATTTTATTTGTCATGTTTCAGTGAGGTCAAAGAGTTTGCCCAAAGTCCCACAGCTGGGAAATGGCAGAGCTGGAATGTGCATGTGAACAGCTGTGCTGACGTACCCAAGCCTAGAATGATGACCCACTACCCTCAGTGCCTGCTACATTCCTACCCTTCCAGGCTGTTGCTGATGCAATGCCTATGCAAGCAACACCCTGCCAACTAGCTCTAACTTGCTAAATGTTATTTGTCTGTTTTCTCAAAAAACCTTTCTCTGATCCTCCCAGAAGAAAGTTTCTTCTCCCTCTTCTGGTTTCCCATGGTACTAGATGTGATCCTTTCTCATGGCTCTGAGCACACTCTATTTCCAAAGACAGTCGTGTGCCCGTGTGTCGGCCATTAGATCCTCAAGAGCTAATGGCTGGAAGATCTTTGGGAACAAGGACCTTGGTGGTTTAGCTGTTTCCCTCATGGCGCCCAGCACAGAGCCTGGCCCATGGTAGTGTGACGTAAGTGAAAGGGCGTAGGCTTTGGAACCAGACAGAGCTGAGTTCCAATCCAGATCGGAAAAGTCACTCCACCTCTCAGGGTCCCAGAGCCTCAGTTGCCTCCTTTGTGAAGTTGGGGTATCCCGCCCATCTCACAGGTCATTATGAAGCACACACAGTAGGAACTCATCACTGTTTGTTAGGCCTTAATTTGATAGTGCATCAAGTTCTTATGTGTTCTATAAACCCAGATTTTTAACTTGCTTGTTTTTAACAATATAATTTTTTGTCTTGCCAATTCTTTCTCGTTCTTCTCACAGACCCTACTCATGGCAGCTAGTGGTTCTTAAATGCTTGTCGGGTCACGTGTTTCAGTTTGAAGTACAGGTAAAAAGTCGGAGGAGTAGCCAGAGCATAGGGATAGGGAGGAAAGGCCCTTTTCAGGGATGCTGACCTGTTTGGAGAAGGAGTCCTCCAGCTCTGTGATGTCATTGGAAAACTCTCCCGATGTGGTGACAGAGCTTCCCCCACCATCGATGCCCCCTCCACAGGAGCCTGCATATGGGAGGCCCCGTTCAAGCAGGTGGCTCCGGGCACCAGCCATGGCACCCTCGTCCAGCGAGGCAGGCTTGCCCTCGAAGTACGCGGGGTTCTGGGCCTTCTCGTACTCCTCAAAGGAGAACTGCATCCGCATGTTGGAAAGGATGATCCGTCTGGACATGCGGCTTTCCGAAGCTGAGCTGCGGAGCCGCTCAAAGTTCTTGTTCATGCGGTACTGGCGGAAGGCCGTCTGGATGGTCCTGGCAGCCCTACGGCTCAAGAAGGAGCCCCCGTACTTCCTCTCCAGCATTTCCACCTGGCAGGGGAGGGTTGAGGGGAACAAGGTCAGACTCACAAAAGCCTCATGTCCCTGGACCTCAACCACACCACTACGGAGACACAGCTAACTGCTTACAGCTGCCTGAAGGCACCAGGCTGCTCGCTCAGTACCCTTCCCACTCTAATCTCAGATACTGCTTGTCACATGGGACTGGGTTGTGGTTTTCTTTTATTATTTACAAGAAGTAGACAGTCAGTATACCAAAAAGTTAGAAAAAACAGAGAAGCCAAAAAGGGAAGGAATAAAGAAGGAAGGGAGGGAGGGAGGGAAGGGAAAAGAAGGGAAGGGAAGGGAAGGGGAAGGAAGGAAGAAAAGGAAAGAGAAGGGAAGGGAAGGGAAAGGAAGGAAGGGGAAGGGAAGGGGAAGGGGAAGGAAGGAAGGAGAAGGA